GCTGCTCAATATATTACCTAAATCAGGGATTCTGTTTTGAAAATGTAACGTGACTTTGGAATAGGGACAATCTAGTATACTAAACATTTTCTAATCGAGGTTAACCGTATTATTATATCTTTTAGTACATCTTATAAGAAATATTTCACAAGAGAAAGAAAACTAGAAGTGTGTAAACACGATTCAAGATTTGCCAGTAATTGGTAGAAATGCGTCATCTTAAGCAGCGTGAACCTTAAATTTACTTAAGGATAAACTAATAATTTTTCCATCTCCGAATGCACACTGACAAAACACGGATATCCTTCCTACTGTTTGAGTTTACAAGGCATTTTAAAAACTTACGTACATTGTTGTATGGTACTTTTACTATCAATGATATGAAGCTTAAATGATTTTTGTTTTAATTGGTTTATTCATATTATAGATTAATTTAGTTCATTTATGTTACATAAGTTTTTCAGTTCTATTTGGGTGTGTTTTGTTCTTCTCGTTTGTAGTAGTATTTTTTTTTTTTTTTTTTTTTTTTTTTTTTTTTTTTTTTTTTTTTTTTAGAATTTGTTGATGTTTTATGGTGTCTGATATGGGGGAGAAAGCTAATCTAGTGGTTAGAAAGTGTGAATTCGGACCCTGAGGTGCCGGGCTCAATCCCTACAAATCACCATTGGATTTTATCTAAGTGATAGTGACGCAACCCCTTTGTTTAGCCTGAATTAACTAAACAATCCCGGGCTCGTGCCCAGCATCCTAGAAAAATATGTGTCTTGTATACCACAGCTGGGGATAAAAATTAATTGTTACTATACTAGAAAGTGTAATTTAAGAAAAATACGAACTTGATGAAAGTTTTAAACCTATTTTATTTATTTATGTAAAAAAAAACCCCTCTAAACATATTTTCGTTTGTATAGCTCTTATAATTGCTGTAATAAAGTTAGCATGTGTAGGTAAAATTAATCATATTTTATGAGTGTGTGTGGTGCCAAGTGTTTACAGTGCTCGAATTTAATCCTTAAGGTTGCTAGTTACATCTCAGGTGGCCCAGTATTCTGAACCTAAATTGCATTTGGATAGAAGGAAGGTCAGAATTTGGACCGTACAAAAAAATTACAAAAATAAAAAAACAAAAAAAACAAATATGCCTATCTTTAAAAATAAAATAGTCTCTTCCTACTAATTTGGTCTATTTACATATTTTTTTTCTGCATAGGGCAGAAAAAATTACAAGAAAAAAATCTCAAAAAATAAAGAAAATATAAGATAAAAATTATTAGAAATTTTATTTTCAACAAATAAATTAGATAAAAATACTCAAACAATAGAATAGGTCTTATTAGGCTAATTAGTATTAAGTAGTCTTAGTAATCGATCACCACTTACCACCTTTTTTGTATATTTACCGTCTTGTGAGTAACAGTATAAGCGTAAATATATGTTTTAAGTGTTATAAGACGTTTCTTTTATTTACTTTCCGTAATTAGTATCAGTAGTAATTTGTTTTATGTTTACATTATGATTTCTCATACGCAGACTAAGAGTTAGGACACATTTTTAAATATCAATTTTTGTTTTGGACTTTCTTTAACAACAAGCAAACTTGTCACCATTTGTGAAACTGTATTAAATCATAGTATTCCAATAATCTACAAACGTTTTAAATAGCTAATGTGGTTTATAAAATTATGCAACAACCTTACCTTGAAACCAACATACATTTGGGTGTCCAGTTTGTTAACTATGAGATAGTGATGTTTATGTATGAGCCTTATCATCAATTTCTCGTAGCTCCTGGGAAGTCTTCATGGTGATAAAACAGAGACGTGCCATGCAGCCGAGAACTCTCAACTAGATCAACTATGTCTATCCATATCCCCCATGTTCCTCTATTTTAAAATCTAAAATTCATATACATGCATAGAACAACATAGTCACTGACCACTACAGGGGATCTAATTGTATTGGATTTGATTGTGCTATCTAACTATTAGTGTATTTCAAAATTGTAATTATGTATAATTGATATTTTCCACAAAGTAACAAGAAAATAAAAGTAGTATTTTATGTTTGTATAGTTTAAATTTACGTAAAATTATAATGTGTGAGTTAGTCTCCATTTCCCAATACAATTAAAGAAAGGAGCGTCTATTTCCTTTCTAAATTCTACGGCCATAATGTTAATAATTGATGTAAGTAGGAGTTTTATAGGCCCTAAAAATGCACTATTTAAAATCATAAATAATGAGACTTGCATAGCTTTTTGGATTTTGTTGTGTTAAATGTCGATTTTTTTGCCATCACTGTCAATTAACTTAGAAGTTCGTGTCAATCTCCTATCGTTATTTTGTGAAATGCCTGCTGTGACACCTTCTTTACAGAAGCAGCAGTTTATAGGATACAAAAATGTAAATTAGGGTTAAGAATTTTAGATTAAAACAAGCCTATTCCAAGCATCATGCACACTCAACGAGGTTTCAATTAGTTTTAAGTTATATAACATGAATTTGGCATTTAATAGTATTTGAATATAAATTAGATTAACATTTATAATGTGCGTCAAAATTAAAAGCTTGTCTCCTAAAAATCTACCAAACCTAAAGATACTACGTTTTGTTCTTTAAATGTTTAATGGCTGGCCAAATTAGGGGTTTAAATTTAAATCATTATTAGGTTTGATAACCCCACCCGAGTAGATTAGTTAATTTCAAATAGTCTCTCTTTGAAAAATGTAAATAAATTTTGGTTTAAAAATTATTTATTCGTGTTACATATTGGATTTTAAAATTGTTACTGTTCATAATCGGTAGTAAAATGAGGGTTAAGTGAATTTATTTTAAAATTACTACAAACGCCATGTATATCTTAACCCAAAATATATGTTTTGAATATATTTTTTGTTCAGTGAGTTAACTTTTACGTCTATTTATTTCATTATAATAATGATATGGTTATCAGACTGTAGTATTAATAATTGGGATTTTTGGTAGCTTAAAGGATACGCATTTTCCAGTCAACATATATATATATTTAGTACAGGTGTGTATAGCTCTCGAACCTAACGATAGGAACCATTTATTTGTGTAATACACATTCATTTAATATTTTCATGTAAGGTATAATGAATCAGATACTATATGCTGGAAAATGGATTTAAAATGTTTTTTTTATCAACATAACTATTTATTATGGAATTACTATCATCTCTTAAAGGCCTCTACCCTATTTTAAAAAGTTTAAAAGCACAAAAATATATGATTTCATGGATTTAATGCACAGGGGTGTGTGTTTTAAGCGTTTAAACTGTTTTCCGTAGTTTAATGTGTGTGTTTAATTGTTTTAACAAGGAAAACTTAAATTTCATTCTGAATCAAACTTGAAAGTTTTTATTTAAGAGTTAAATTATATAGGACATGATAATAAGGCATTATAATAAATGACGAAATAAAATCAACTGACATTCTTTTAACTGGGATTTAGTAAAACTAGAAATTATTCAAAGTTTATGACAGCGGAATAAAAGTTACGGCTCAACCAAGAGTTAATTAATTTACTTTTGTTTACTTCAAAATGTTTAACTTTGTCAGGCTTCTTGGAATATCGTTATTAAAACTGGACTCATAAAGCTACGTCTTCATCTGCATTTCTTCTATGCAAATTTTATTTTTACCTTGATTAATCTTTTAATTGCATTTACGATTTACCACAAAACAAAAATGTCTTGACTTTCTGTTTATCCAACTGTAACAACAATAGGATATATAGTTTAGGTTTTATTGAATTGTCAAGATAATTTCTCTGCTATTCTATTATAATATAATTGCGTTTAGGGTTAGACGCAAAAATTGTATGTTGTAGTTTTAAAGTTTTAAATAAATATTATTTTACTAAATCGACTAACTAAGCTATTTCAAAAGATAATTATTTAAAGGAGGTTTTTCTTTGATATGTTAGAAGATATGATTTATCTCGTATTAAGTTACGCCAATAAATGTTACTAAGTCCTACACAAATTAATATAAAAACTGTAAAATAGTGAAAAGATATTATAAATAAACTTACTCTTGTACCATTTTTATGGAATTATTTTTTTTATATAATTCACAAAGAGCTGTAATGTAAACCCTACCATTCTACAATGTCAATCAATCAATCTATAATGATGTTGAAAATTGTCAGACATGTTAGTTCAACAGTCAATACACAACACTGTCAAATAGATTAAATAGATGGAAACATCAGAGGATTAATTCAAAAATATGCTTATTCAATTTCAAAATGATGAAAAAAAGTAAATGTGGTGTCTGTAGACGATTAGATTTCTAATTATGTAACCGTTAAAACTGTCATAAAAAAAATTATAATGATAATAATTTTCTCATATTCTTTAGAAATGATAATTATTAAATAGCTTTCTACTGTTGTTTTAGGTCAATGCACCTCCAAACTTAAAATGCACCTCCAAACTTACAATGCACCCCTAAACTGACAATGCACCTCAAAACTGACAATGCACCTCCAAACTTAAAATGCACCTCCAAACTGACAATGCACCTCCAAACTTACAATGCACCCCTAAACTGACAATGCACCTCAAAACTGACAATGCACCTCCAAACTTAAAATGCACCTCCAAACTTACAATGCACCTCCAAACTTACAATGCACCCCTAAACTGACAATGCACCTCAAAACTGACAATGCACCTCCAAACTTAAAATGCACCTCCAAACTGACAATGCACCTCAAAACTGACAATGCACCTCAAAACTTACAATGCACCTCCAAACTTACAATGCACCCCCAAACTGACAATGCACCCCAAAACTGACAATGCACCCCTAAACTGACAATGCACCTCCAAACTGACAAAGCAAATTTAACCAGAACGTTCTTAAATAAAGGATGTTAAGTAAAGCGACTGACATTCACCATACGCTGAGATAATTCTCAATGTTATTTATTAAGCGCATGGTAGATAAATAATAAGTTATTTGTTATTGCAGATGTGCCAAGATTCGGGGAGCCCATTATCAACGTGACCGCCCCTGTAGGAAGGGAAGCTACACTAGTATGTGTCGTAGACGACCTGGGGTCTTACAAGGTAAATGCTACTTCTGAATAAACTTATATTTTCGTATAAGTTTGTCTATTTAGTCATTTTTAACAAAATGTTAGATAATAATTTGAATTTTCAGTAAAAATTTGTTTCATGTTATATATTATTGTGGTCTTTATTCCTTTACCTTTTGACAAAATTTCGCCTTTTGATTCATTATTGTTTATTGAATTTTTATATATATTTAGTATATTTTTGATATATTGAAATTCAATTTTAGAAACTATTTGGTATATTGTGGTGTAAAATTTAGGATAAGACCTCTTCTGTTTCTTATTTTTGGATGAAGGCAAAATCTTGAAGTAAGTTTCAAAGACTGGGCTTATTGACTGATCGGGAAACCAATCGTTTTAAAGCAAAGCTAAATAATAACGTAATACAAATACAGTTAAGCTCAAACATATTGCAAGTATTGTGATGGCAATTGATACTGGTGGATAACATATACTCTGATATGATAGTAGGATTTTGCGTGTAAGTTAGGAGTTTCGTACTTAATATTAAAACATCAAGACAGAGTTAACTTAATTTAAAGGGGATATTTATCATCTAGAATTAAATTTACGAATAATACTCAGTTTCCACTAGTCTATCACACGAATATAAAAATAATATTATGGTCCGAGTAGTCACATAGACGAGCAGGTCCAGTTTTCCTGGACGGCACAATACATTTGTCAATTCTCTTTTGCAGGACACTATACAGATCTCCTCCCACAGATATCAGAGGTTCCATTTACTCACATCAAAGGCAAATAATGTCAGCAGTCGGCTCTAAAGATTACCTGTTTGCTTTTATACAACTAATCTACCCATCTACCTTTGGAATTTCCAGCTCAAAGCATGTATTGCGAAGCCTTTGGAACTTGCCAATGTATTGATGATAGGATCGAATTGCCAATAAAAAAGTAATATTTGTGGTAATTATGTGCATGAGTTATCATGATAATTACTTAATTCATATACATTTCTTCCTAGCACCCAACATTTTAGTGTTATACAGTTATTAGGAATTTTGGTAATTTTTACGTGAATCAAAATACAGTTTGAAGGGTTGGTGCTTCAATGTCAATTCGGTAATTATGTTTAGGGTGCGTCACGATCCAGCCAACACAGCAAATGTCAGCCAATAGCCAAAATGTCACTTTTGATTATACTGCAGAGTTCTCTGTTGGCTGGTCCAGTAATGAATTAACTAATAATATAATCCACAGTACATCACTACTATTACTGTTTTAGAACGATATAAGCAGAACAATACGATGCACCATGTTCTACTCACTATCTAATTCTATTTAAAGGATATTACCGATATCCAATTAGCATTGTAATATTCAAACTATGGATTCTATCGCTTAAATACATGTTGTTGGAACAAGCAATCACATTAATCATAGATATAACAGAATTTTCAAAGAGCTTAGTTACTATTACGACATCACTAATTTATAATAGCTTTAACGAATTAATGAAAACTATTTAACAAAGCCTCGCTTGCTTATTTAAAACTAACACCTCTACCTTGTAGTCTTTAGTACATTAAAATGACATGGATAAAATATAATTTATCTGATAAGCCACTCAAACAAAATGTCTTTACTCAGTATACCTGTTTACGGAACAGAGACAATGTAATAATTAAACCAGTTCTCAACGCGCATTCAGTTAGTTAACTAGAAGGTATCGACAACACCTCCGACTGACGCTGTCTTTCAGACACAGCTGTTAACGTCGCTGTCAAACTGTCTATGAGTAACAGTTCGCTGTTGCATAAACAAACTTCACCTGCACTTGACATTAAACAACCTTCTCTGCTTTTAATTGATTAATATCCCTATCAGGAATGCCTATGAGTGGAAAACCGATAGTCAAATGTATTTATAACTCTTTTTGAGCCTATAGATTAGAAAGGGTATTTTATTTAAATAAAATAAAATGTATATTATTAATTTTAAAGATTGATTGTAAGTTGGTTGAATTTTTTACCTTTGATTTTGGATGGAAATTTAATTTCAAACATTCTATTCAAAATTTAAAATGTTTAACCATGTTTGAAATGAAAATGCATGTATACCTAGTCAAATTGAGACAACGGCTCACTTATTTCCGTGGAATATGCCATTTTTTACAAGGAAAAAAAAACATCTTACTGTAAACTTCATAATATTTCATGTCATATAATGTACTTGATAAACGAATACGAAGGGGGTAATTAAATATTGGAATTTATAACACTTTGCTATATATTAACACTGCTACATTTGCTCCCTATAAATGGAACATCGACTTAAGTCTGTAAAAGTATTTGGTTAAGCTACTAAAATATCAAAAGTCGTATATACAATATACTATATAAGTTTACAAAATGTAAGACCCTCTTCAAGTGGAAGGGAGTATAAAGTTAGCACTTCGTTGTGTAAAATATGATTGTAGTTCCTGAAATATATTTGTAATTATTTACAGTAAAATCATTATAATAAATCCTACAATTAAATTTTAATAGACGTGCTGAATATGCACATGCAAGGAGCATATAATATATATTAATATGCATGGTTTTAGTAGAGCCCCTCTTTTAAGAAACGAATACATTTTAGGTATACAACAGGTACAGTAAATGTGAACGTTCATTTATCCCAACTCTCGAGAAATAATTGTTTTTTTAATTTCTTATTTGTCAAAGTATAATGTTGACACAATTCCATATAAACATTTAATCTTATTTCAATGTTCAAAAGCTATATCTATGACATTTTTAGGGCCATTATCTCAGGAGTAAAACTGTAAATGTCAACCAACGGTTAAAATGTCATTCTTGATTATACTGCAGGGTTGTGCGACGAATAAAAATACTCCGACGGTAGGAAATTTGATTTGACTCCTTTGTTACCTCTGTGAAATAGTGTTGTACTATTATAAATCTACATTAAGGTAATAATCGTGTACATATATCATACAGCATCACATTTACTCTTTCAGCTCCAAACTAAAGATGAGTTTGATAAATACTTGAAATGATTATAGATGAGAGAATCAGAGTAGTTAGAATAAAATTTAGCATTAGGCTTGATTAGTAGATACCAAATGATATTTTTTTTAAAGAAGAGATTTAAAATTAAACTATTTACTTCTTTGTAAATCTTGATGTGTCTTTGAGATGTTTAGAGTTTTAGTGAAAAGACAGGAAAACTTGGTTAAATACTTTTATAGGGAGAAAAATTACTAAATAATCAAGAGCGAAAAATAATTGAGTACAATATTTTATATTTTATCAACGTGGACACAGAACATTTAAAAACCAACAATATATATATTCACGCAATATATATTCATGTTTTATATTCACTTTCATGTGAATATAAAGCACATGTTAATATTCTTAAATTCCAAAACATGTGTTTGAGCCACACTAATGACACAAATATTGAAATGTCAAAACATCTATGTCTTGGATATAGACTAAAGGCAAAATAAAACAACATAATACTTAACAATACAAGTGAGTTACTTGCTGTAAAATGACTTTTTTAAATTTCTTTAAAAACATGGTGAATTTGAAATTATTTGGTTATTCTATATTTACATCTTTCATGGAGGCCTCTTATACCCGTGCAATATTAACGAATAATTAGATTTTTTGCTTATATATAGTTAAGAAATATTTTTGTTTGCTACGAATAGACCAATTACATCCTTAAAACCTGGAAAACCTATTCAAATTAGTTTGAATTGCCGGTCCCAATGATACACTAATGACCTTTTAGCTTTATACTTCTTTCATTCGAACCCTTCCAAAAGTAATCAGTAAATTGTACAGAAAGTGGATGGGACACAATCCAATATATCGCATTCCCTTTCACACTGTCCAATAGAGAGTCCGATGTATTGCCGGATGTATATCTCCTGTCAAAGCTCTTCAGAGAACTGTCAGTCGATCTAACCAAATCTTATCACTTTGACTTTTGAATATTATGGCTGTATTTGGGTGGCTATGTTTACAAGTGAACTAGATACCTTTGATTTTAAGTACAGTGTGGCCCAAGTACTCATCTTAACTAGAGCTTTAACTTAACTGTTTTACTGGACACTACTCCACAACAATGTTCAGGAATGGTTGAAAACATGCAAAAACGAATGTAATATGTAATAAAAATGGTGAAAACATGTAGAACCATGGTGTAACATGTAGTGTTCATTTTAAACTAGAGTAAGTTTGTACAGCTAACAAACAATAATTATTGCCGTGAAATTATAAGTATTTTCCATCCTTTATATATTTTACCCTTAGAAATATATTTTGAGGAATATTAAACACACTTGGCTTAGACCATCCACATATATAATATTATACATTTAAATGTTATAAAGATTATGTAGAAAATCTATATTTGCATCACGCTGTTTGATTTTATGATTCAAAAATGGTCAACCTCGATGTTTTTTACGTGCACTTTCATGTATTAACATAAGAAGCAAAGATTAAAACAACAAACATATGCATGTAAAAATTAAAACCCAATTGTCTATATGCCTATGTAAATAAAACATGAATCATGTAATTCACGCAAACTCCCCTTTAATATGCCTTATGCCTAAATTGGATTTACCATAGAATGAAATTATAAGAGTCTAGGTAGGATCATGTGTGTAGATTAAATGTAGTAAAAAAATGTATATTATAATGAACGAAATCACACTCCTTTGACCATATTTATACCAATAATACATTACGGGCTCATTAAAATGAAGAATTTCTGCTTTTTCTCCATATTTTAATATGATAAAGACGTCGAACAAGTTTGATCAAACGTATTTAGTACGTTTGAACTTTAATCATATTTACTTTATACAATTTGGGAAGTTTCTTTAATGCACTTAAGCCAAGAGAGATATTTTTTAACAATTATCATTTTTAACTCCAAATCTACTATAGATCTAAAATATTTTACCTTCCAAATCATCAAATTATTTCCCAACAGGTGGCGTGGCTAAGAGTGGACACTCAGACCATCCTGACGATCCACAATCACGTGATCACCAAGAACCACCGGGTGGGAGTGACTCACAGTGATCACAGAACGTGGATGCTGCATGTCCGGGAGATCAGGTCCTCCGACAGAGGATGGTACATGTGCCAGATCAACACGGACCCCATGAAGAGCCAAGTTGGCTTCCTAGATGTTGTGGGTAAGCCGTGGAGGTGTTAAGAATATGTGTTGTCTGTTTGAAATGAGAAAAAACTAGATGTACAAAGGTAGAATAGTCCTAATCTGAAATAAAGTTCCTCTTGGTGTTTATAATATGCAAGTCCTAAAACAGTAGCTATTGCAATACAATGCACAGTAAAATACGAGTGGTAGAAAGAGTGAATGAATGATATGACTTGACTAAAATCAAATTGTGCTTTAGCATTTACCATTTATTAAAGGCCTAATAATCAAGAACAGTTCCAGCCTCAAAAGTATATCGTAAGTTAGATAAAAATATACCTACTATTAATTATTGATCAGTTAACTTATTCTAAGGGTTAGAAGAATACTAAATACAACAAGGAAATACAATTTTAACTTATGATTTTGTCCTTGTTTGGATAATTAATCTATTTGTAATCAACCTACTTGTAGTTAGTATACTATAGACAACCAATTAGATGCTTAAATATTCTATCAACTAATATTATAATGATTAGATATAATAGGTGATAGAATAGCTAAGCATCTAATTTGTTGTCTAAAAGTACGTAATTATTCACCATGGATAAGTTGTATTAGTTAAATAAAACGTGTTTTATATTGTATTAATTATTTAGAACATAAAGCCTATTTTAATTACCTGTTCTTTTTTCAGTTTTCACTTAAAATGTTTTTAGAAAAGAATGTGATTAAAAAAATGAATTAGCTAGTCTCTTTAACATACTATCAAGGGAAATGTTGTTGATCAACTAGCCAAAGAGTTATTTTGATAAAGTCTGGTGCAAAAACGTCCAGACATGTAATACTAATGACTAGAGTTATTTGCAACAACGTTTTATGTTATTAAGTTTAGAACAATAAAAAATTATTAAATCATCATTTTTACTTGACTAATACTTTTAAAGTCAAATAAAAATACGCTCCACAATACTTGCCACTAAGCCAAAGCGATTAAACCACAAAAACTCTATTTCTGACACTGACAACTAAAGGCCAAAATTCAATAATCCAATTACCAAAACACTAACAGAATATCGATGAAGTGAAATGCGTCGTGCAGCCCATAATCCACTACTGCAGCTGGTCTGTGTTTGTTGGTTCTAATGTCTGTTGTTATTATGCACTAATTGGCAACTAAATGTATTAGCATTTGCCTCTGCCTACCTTATGAAAATATTTGTAATTTTCAATCGATTAAGGAAAAACTACATATAACGAAGGGAACATTGAACTAAACCGCTTGCAATAACTAGCCAAAGGAATAATAAATAAGTACTCGTATACTGTAATATTTTTCAATCAGGTAAAGTTATTGCATCGTAGGTTTGTTGCGATAATGTTAATAACAAGCTTTAAGATCTTAAAGCTGTTTATAAATTTGATGCAACAGTTTTTAGCATGTTAAGGAATTAAAAGGTTGCTCGAGGGGAGCTGGTAGTTAGAATAAAATTTAGCCATCTTAAAAGGGGAGCTGAACCGCCCATAAGAGCCCATGTTAAATTCTCAAAGTTTAAGTACATTTTTCTCGGAAACTATTTAACCTACAGCTTTAGAAATTGTAGACAGTTAATATATGTGCTTCAAGAGTGTGTTGAACTAGAATTATGTTTCTATGGTAACAAATTTAATTTTTTTATATTTTTGAAAAATTCTATTTTTTTATACAAAAAATATTTTTTTTTATTTTTTTAATTTTTACTATTGATCCTATGGTGATAATTCTAGTTCCACATATTTGTAGTGATGTAAGGTACACTTGGTAAAAATTTCATCAAGATATCTTTATTACTTCTTGAGAAAAGTGTACCTTTATCATTAAAAAAACAAGTTTTCGGAAAGTCGCGAACAAAGATGACACTACTAGGCCACTAGATGGCCTTACTAGGTCTACTCCCTATGCTCAGAAAATTTGGTGCTATACTTTGTTTTTTGTTTTTTTCTAGTTTTGGGAGGTGATACCTATTAATATATATATATATTCTTTTTCAGGATAAAACAAAGAATCTAAAACTAAAATAAAATTTTTTTTTAATTAAAAAAATTTAGGTTCAGCTCCCCTGAATGAACACTGACGATCTAGATATGCAAAGTAGTATTATGTTTTAAGAACAATATACATAGTAAATTTTAACCAAATATAAACCTGAAATTCAAGCTTAAATAATAGAATAGTTATACGCCGTGGTTTTAAAATGTTTTTTTCTTTTTTCCTTTTTTTTGAATACACTCATCGAAGTTAAATAAAAGGCTACATCTAAAACAAAATGTAGTATTATGTAATGTAGATATTAGTTTATATGGAACCAACAAAAGACCTAAAATTTGTGATAATCCTGAATAAAGCTGTTTTATTTTTTATAAACACATTTTATAAACATTACTTTTATTGACAGTAAAATAATGCTTTACTAGTTTCTGTTCACTGTTCTTAAATATTATAATCTTACCAGTAAACCATCCAAATTAGATTCTACCATTATTAATACGATTCACCTAAAAACATAATACAACAGTATAAAGAAGATTTAACAATTGTTTCATCATTGTGAAATCACAACGCTTCATTGAGTCGTATAAAATAATGTGCAGGTGGAATGTTGGTGATTCTACAAACAATCACACTGTATCTATCTTCATAACCCATGGTGCGGACCATGATAACGCGCTGATTAAACTGGTACGTCGGAATTGCACAATAAATATTTATTCATCTGTTCTGATTTGACTGGGATTAAAACATTCATCTTATTACCCTTTCTGGCGATCGAAAAAATGCGTATTGCTATTGTAACAGCTCTAAAATACTAGAAAAATATATCTTTATTTTTTGGGAAGAGTATGAAAATACTTGCAAAATGTAAAATATTGTTGATTTAAACGTCTTATATGTAACTTATTTAGTAAAACGAGTAAGTTTATCCTCAGAAAACAATGCATAAAAATTGGGTTTTTTATTATTTAAATAAAATGCCTTATTAAATGTAATCATAATTGCAAACTCTAATACTTATTGTCATAGTTTCTGTAAATATTTAGACCTAAGTTGTGGTAAATCCACAAAGCTAGGCCTACGAACTCTTATATGTTATGTACTTGCAACACATATAAAATACTTATAATTTATTTGAATAAGTATTATGGCACTAGGTTTTCATTTGTTATTCATTATTACTTAATTCAGAACTCTTTGGTAACTTATGATTCTTTAACAATTAAAGTAGTCATTTCGCAGCTCGTATGTTATTAATTCTCTTTAGCTTCTTTAATTTTAAGATGGGAAAGAGCAGGCTGAGTATAAGAGTGTAGGACTTCGGTCCCCAAGGTCCTGGGTTCAAATCTCGCTAATCACCAATTGATTTGATCATAGACTAAGCAGTATGTCTTATCTATGATTTTATCCAAATTAAAATACCGCAACACTATCCGAAAGTGCTGCGTACAACATATAAGGGCACAAACCAGTGTCTTGTGGTGTTAAGATGAGACGGGAAAAAGAACACATTTCTCAAAGAAACTGTAAAATTGTTCACCAATAATGTATACATTACTATGTAACCTAAAATTACCTAAAAACTTAGCAAAATTGAGAACTTGAAAATTCTCTAAACCAGGAATCACTTTCTGGTCATATATTTTCACTTCTATTTTGCAGACCTGACAATGGAATGGGTAGGTTTCCATTTGGCTCTGTCTTGTGCAATTCTCCAAGTAAAACGTAATGATCCCTTATTTGTATCTTTATTTGTACCTATATTTACATAACAAAGAGTCAAAACACACTGTTCAAAAGATTAGTTAATATTTCTAATGTTATAGAATATTTAAGAACAGTAATACAAATACTTTAAAAACGAAGTTAATTTACATTACCGAAACAGTTTATACACACAGCCAAACTAAAATTAAAGACAAAATTAGTTTTGAATAACTGTATTTTCATATAAAACTCTCTTGAATGGTTATGCCCTTTCATTTATGTATTCCTCTTCTTGCCTGCAGTGCCTCCTGACATTCTTGACTCCCCGACCAGCACAGACATGGTAGTCAGGGAGGGAAGCCCAGTGACTCTCCGATGCGCGGCCTCTGGCTCTCCCGCGCCAAACATTACCTGGAGAAGAGAGGGAGGAGAGCCAATACCTCTCACTACTGGCCAGGAAGGTACACATTTATTGGAGAAAACATAAACTGTCTCATAACATGGTTGTGCTGTGTCATTATCTCTTACAGAAAAATTAATCCCTTACATAAAGGCTAATATTTAAGTATTTTTCTTTCAAGCTAAAATATATATATAATATTTACTCTGACAGTGTCTAAAAACAATACAGTGAAAAAAGACCGTTTCCTAAACAAAATTTAATATTTGAGTTATTTCATTTTTATTATTTTTCTTTTTTGTGTTACTGTACCAATTTTGTTTTGATTACCAAGATTTGTTTAGGGGTAAACATTCCTAGAGTATTTAAAAAACCTGTAGATTTGTGGTTAGCAATATGAAAACATATTTTATGCTAATTGGTGTCAGAACATATTTATCTATAAAAATACTAAGTAACTGATGTTCTATTATACTTATTTTACTTCTATTATACTACTATGCATCATACATCCAGCACTTTCATTAGTCATTTGACTTCGAAAGTCCTCTTGTTTCCGATTTACAATTTTACTTTTAAGATTAAAAAATAGTTGGAAAATGATTTGTTCATTTCCCTTAATATTTCAAGCCTTAATATGTTTTATATAAGGTTCGTGTTTTAATATTTGTAAAAATACTGTTCACACTTTTTTCTTGTTTAGCAGGCACAGTAGAGGGCAGTATGCTGAACATATCTAGGGTCAACAGACTACACATGGGCGCCTACCTCTGTATCGCCTCCAACGGAGTCCCTCCTTCAGTCAGCAAGAGGATCATGCTCACCGTCCATTGTAAGACTCATGAATATTCATTTGCAAGTATTTGTTGTACAAAAAATAATGTAATATAAAACATAGTTTTTATTCCAATAACATCAATTTACAATCTACATTGATACTAATAAAAAGGGAAGCTTTTAACTATACATAATCTCAATCATGGAGTCAAACTGTACAATCCTATTTCGTCACCTCTCTCTTTTTCAAAATGTTATTCAAAATTATGTTAAAACTTTTTTTTTCCAAACAGGAGCTCCATTTTAAAACAAAATACCCCATCTAGACACGTACATTAAACACTAATTCTAACTTTAGTAATTCAAAATTCTTAGAGTAAAACAATTAGTAAAAATGTATAGGTTATGTCATCAAAACGATAAAAAAATATCTTTTTTACTTTTCTATTGATTGTTTTTTGTTTAGATATTATTCTTTGCTTTTTCTGAATAATGGATTCAAAAAATGTCTTGAGTCAATGGATAAACTTATATTGAATTCATTGAAAGCGGACAATTTTATTCAAAAGGTAATTAACTGCTTTTCAGTTAAATTTATATATTATAAAAACAATGCAACTACTATGCAAAACATTGTACCATTACATTTTTCAGTCCCTCCAATGATCTGGATCCAGAATCAGCTGATAGGTTCGAGAGAAGGTCAACAGCTGATCCTGGAGTGTCACTCCGAGGCTTACCCTAAGTCTATCAACTACTGGACCAAGGGTGATAAGGGCGAAATCATAGCTCAAGGTAAACTATAATCTATATTAAAATATTGTTATTATGTTTCTTCTTATTATTATTTTTTAATGTATTTTACATCAAAACTATTTACGTTCTAGTAAGGTCATACTAGAAAACCCACCGAAAAATAGTAAATAGTACATTTTAATCCAGTAGTACAAAATGAGAGTGACAATACCGGTAAGCATTTTAGCAAATATTGTTTTGACCATCCTACAAGTAAAACTTAAAATGTAATTTAATGATGCGCACATTAACTGATATAGTTTAGAGTCGTGGTCTTCTAGTACCATAAGGTCACTATTGTACAACAAGTGACCATGGAAGCCTGTTCTTTAATATCAACTGATTTTAATTTGCTCATGAGAAAAAATAAATAGTAAATCAATGGCTCGGAAAGCAACGCAACAGAATTAAAATCCGAGAAAGCATATTGTGTGTTTAGACCCTAGTACACACTACTTTATTTTATCAGTACAGTTAAACTCGAACTGTACCTACCAGTTCTAGCCTCTGGAAGTTGCTCGCACGAGCCCGAAGCCTACATTGGCGGGCAAGTACAATGTTAAAAGAGGCCATCAACCTCTTTAAAAAGTTATGAGAACATGCTTTGAATTGTTTCATCGGTTTTATACAATTTATTTTTATATTTATATTTAAATGCAATATTTTGTGTAAAACTCCAATGAAGGAGAGTGTGACAAAGAACACAACTCGCCGTACGCTAGTTAAACATTATTATCAAGATTTTGCTTCAAATTCAAATCCCAATTCATTGCCCATACTCTGTTTCAAATCAAAGTTGTTTTATACAATTGTTATATACCATATAAAAATATGGTTAAAAAACTGTTATTTTGTTCCTTAATAAAGAGGTCTAATCTAAAACAGGTAATAGAATTTAGTTGATATTCCAATTTTTTTGAAGACAAATTGTTATTGTCTATTGCTCTTTGTTTATAGCTTTTATTAAATTGATTCCTAATATTTCCCCTTCCTTTCAGGTGCAAAATACGAGCCAGTTCTTGTAGAACACCTATACAAAGTTATCATGAGACTAACCATCAAATCTCTGGGACCCGGTGACTACGGGGCGTACAAGTGTGTGTCGAAGAACTCTCTGGGAGACACTGACGGTACCATCAAAGTCTACCGTGAGTATTGCAAATATTAATAAAGGAAAATTACAGAAAAACTTATTAGGTAGTACAATATTCACACCAAGATATGTGGTATTTGCCAACAAGTCGGTTGCATCATTAATAATCATGCAAATAATAATTGAATCATTTACTATGCTGCCTCATTTATATACGAGCAAAACTTAGAGGCGATTTACCCCTTCATGAAGACACTCAAATATTCATGAATGGAAATTTGGTATAAACGTGTAAACGAACATTTGTTCGAACGAGTTCACGAACCAGCATAATCGGACCATGAGAACGGGGGTTTATGGGGGGTTTTATGGGGTAAAAATGGGGTTTTTCCATTTTTGACCCTAAATACATAACATTTGGGAATTTCTTTCCTAACCATTTTGTAGAGGTTAAAAAAGATATCATTTAGTTTATTGAAGCATTGTTGTATACCTAATAATTACGGAGATAATTAAAAAAAGTGCAAATTTTAAATTCCCATGTTATTCTTATGGAGAACATGAAAAATGTTGTAGTTTACTCGTTTATGAAAATATATTGCTACAATTTTTGGCAATTTATTTATTTCATCCTATACTATTGACGTTTGGTCAATAGTATAGTAGTAGTCAACACTGTTTACCTTCCCCGTAGCAGCTAACCTAATCACTCGTTAAATATAATATTATATAAATTGGGAATAAATAATTCTTATTTATGGAAATATTTTAGTAAATATGTAATCAGACAAGCTGAAATTCGCTTAGTCTGCAGGTTTGTTGTGGCGGAGGTATTTGTATTTCACCAAAATATTTCCTTTTCTCCACAAAAGTTAAATTTGGAAAAGACAGAACGTGTTTTCAAACCGTAACATTGATTGTGGTCCTGTTGAATACATACGAAATTTAAGTAAAACTCAAAAAATTCCAAAATATTGAACCAATATTGTTTTGTTTTAGCTGTCCTATCGGATAATGTATCAACTATGAAGCCAAGGCACAAAGGTTAGTATTCAAACAAGAATCAATAAAGTTCCCATCGTTTTAAAAATAGAGCTGAACTTAACTCTGCTGAACTGAAAACAGCTAATGTATATACTAAATAATTTTCTAGCTACGTAGAGAACAAATTAATTATTATAACGTAAAAAAGTGTTTCAAACAATGGTTTAATTTAATTATGTGTATGTAACAAAAACGTCCCATGTGCAAATTAGATTATTTATAATTAATTGTTCATAATGAAAAGACTAGTTGGTCTAAGAAGCAGAACACTATTTTTTACAAAACTACATCAGACCTTAGGCATTGTTACTCATTCTGCAAAACATTCATTACAAACATCAAAACTTTAAATCATTATCTTTACTTAACTTTTTTAATTGGAAGCAACATAACACAAGACATAATCCATGTTTTACTGTTTCAGACAAGAACAGACTTCGCCCCAAATATGGAGGTCAAAATGAGATTGGAGACTCTGGAGGTCTAGCCAAACAAAGAGGTAAACTTAATAATAAGTAAGATATTAGCATAGAGTTTAGAATGACGAAACGTTTTATCGTTGATATCCATGGCAAAACGACTATGCACATCCTTGCATTGTGGTAGAGGAAAGGTTCCACTTAAAGTTATACGATTATTTTTCAACATACAAAAGGACTTTTTACAGGCCATTTGGCTGATATTTTTTTGAAGGTAAATAACGATTTTACCTACGACCGTTTTTTTATACTAGCCTATTCAATTCAGTTTTTAAAATTGAAAAGATTTACTTAAAAGTATTTTTTACTTACTTTGCAGTATTGTATTGTTGCTATACAGTTTAAATTTGGACCAATTAGGTTCGAGAATTGAGAAAAAAATAAGTAAAATAGTTTTAATACTTTTAACACCAATTGAATTCATTAAACAGTGAGTGAGTGGTTGGAACAGTAAACATTACATTCAGTGGCAATGAGAGGTTATAAGCGAAAATACAACCTCTCTTAAAGTCATGAATGGTGATTTGTAGTAATAAAAAACAGACTTAGGTAAAGTAGTGTACGCTACTCGCATAATTAGCCTTTAAGCCACTTGTAGAAGTTTTATTGGCCTGGTTTTAATGGGCTTATTTTTTTTGCCCGTGTCGTTAAGACTATCTTTACGCTATCGGTGCCTACTATTTACCGATTCAAATATCTGAAATAAAATCACCTTGAACGGAATGTGAGAAAAACTCGTAATGTTCCACGTATGAAAAAGGTACTTTCCTTAAAACTACAATATAAAATCGATTATATTAGCGCAGTATTTTGATTTTACACGTTGAAACTTGTTTTAACACGTTTTAAATAGCTTGATTTCTTGTCTGTTCGGTACAAATTTTGAAACCGATTTTAAACTAACTTTTTTATTAGCTAGAGAAATGAAACTTGAACATAACTCAAAAATTTTATTAAAATAATATGTTTTTGTTCAATAATATTATTTAATTAATAATATTTATTAATTTATTTATAATTTATTTAAGTCCATAACAACATATTGCCATTGAAGTAAATAAATGTCATTTATGTGCAGGGCAAACCCCTGAAAAGTGAAAATATTTCCTTGTAATTTGGGTTACATAAAAAAATAAAAATAAAAATACTGTGTACATGTCCCTAAGTTAAATTCATTTGGAATGTCCACTTTTGAAACTATCAGGACTCACATACGTATAATACTGTACGAGCGTGCATTAGAATGAGCCGAATTTTAGCACGTCCCAAATGTAAGTAGCATATAATAATGCCACATTGTGAACATAATTAATCATATTTTCTTAGTTCAACTTATTAAGAGTTTAAACGGAGCAGTCATAATAATTGTATCTATAACTAGAGCTATTTTTGGTTTGATATCATTTCCTGTTTTGCGGATGAAAAATTGAAAAAAATGTGAATAAATTTACTTCATTATCTTTAGTAACTTATATAACTTAATTTTATTGATTTCAGAGCTGAAGGTTGGCGCTTACGACGACCTGGGTGATGACGAAGAGTCTTCAGCACCAAGTCTTCACAAGACGATCTTGGCCTTCATCTTCGTCTTCCCTTTTTATCTGGCCACTCTATAATAGCACTTTCGGCTAGTTTATAAGACTGGGTCATTAACAGATATTATATTTTGAGTAAAGAATAACATGTGAATCAACATAGACAATTATGTTTTATAGCAAAAGTTTTATGGTATAATTTATAATTTACGAGTACCTATTTATAAATGGATTAGTGGTTTTTGGCCTACAACCGTGTCGAAATTGATAAAAAACTACCGTTAATAAACGCTTCATTAATCGATTTTGATACGGTCGTCAACCAAAAACTACAACCAATAAGTTTAAGATCGTGGGAGTATATTAAGAAGTTGATTTAAAAGTAGTTTGCCTAAGAGCGACTGTAATCCATACCATATCACTAAGCATGGACTATTAATAAATTGAACAAAAAGTATTGTTATTTATTACCAAAGTGACCAAAGATAACGTTTTAGCTATTAGTGATTTTGTATATATTTATCGTAGACACTGGTTTGTGATGGTCGTCGTAGTGTAGTTTGTAGGATGCTTAAACAATAGTATAGCGTATATTTGTACTGATTAGGCTTCTAAAACAAATGTAGTTTTCTAAACGTCCATTACTTGTTTGACATTTAGTGTTGATTTTGTATTTTAAATAAAATTCATCTTGTTTGACTAACACATACAAAGTGCATACCAAACATATCAGCGGATAAACTGTACTGAATTGTATACATATTATTGTATTCTTCCACTTTTATACTGTTTGAAAACCTTTTGTAAAATCTAATTATCAATATCTATATCTAGTTATTTAAGAAAAGGACCTTTGAGTTATAGTGAACAAGTATTCTTTATTTGTGAGAAAGAAACAACCACACTTTATGTTATAAATGTTTTACATTTCTACTTTCCATGTGTTTGGAAGTCAAACTGTACTTGCTACGCTCTCAATGAAATTATTTTTAACGGTAATATTTAGTATTTAAAAATGCAATATGTATATAGTAACAATTGTTTTAATTGCTTTGTAATATAAATTTGTAAATACCGTTTTGCTAATAAAAAGATAAAAAAAAACTATGACTAACCTCCAACAGTGTATAGTTAATACTTTGTTACACATTTGTCCTTCAAGCTTATGGGATAATTTATGTGTCGAAACCACTATCAATATATAAAAGGAAATATTCTTGAAAAATTCACACTACGTTTAAATAGAATACCTTGTAAATAATGTCTGAGTAGATTCCTAATGTGCAATATATTAAAGTGCTGAATATATTATGTTCCACGCATGGGCAGTTAGTATATGAAGACGGGGAAATAGAAGTTTAAAAGTGGCCGCCAACCTCTTAAAAATTTTAATAACGGTGATTATAAAAATCTAAATCATATACTGTAAGATACAACGCCACCGTAATTTAAATCCTACTTATTATTATATAATTTCCAAAGTAGCTTTATTTACAGTTAAACAGTGAGAAAAAAAAAATAATAGGACAAATACTATCCATTTACACTAATCCCTTTTACAACTAAAATATCTCGGTGGTATTCGACATTTTCAGTTCAGAATACTAGATTTTGTGTGGCTTTGCATACATCTAAAATATGATAAAGCCATGCTGACAGTATCTGAGTGAAAATAATGTGAAGCCATTTTTAATATTGCGAAAAAGACAAAGAAGGGTTAGCAGCGCCATCTCCACAGTTAATCCAAACTCACGACCTGGACAGGAAACTCAAGAAGATAACTAGGTAATATATTCTACTTTCCAACATAAATATTTGGCTTTGAATATTTACTTATATTCTCTCTCTACAATGCGCTTATTTAATACTGTACTTTTATACGCTAGGTCTTCTTTTGCTTTGTTCCATGTAGGAACTATTGTTCAGGTTTTGAAACCCTATTTTACTATTGGAAAGTAGAAAGATTTTATGGTAAAAAGATTTTTCTGAAGAATCTTTCCCTATGATATAGTAATAAAAAATAACCACTGTAAAACAATAAAAATGGTTACCATACCACAAATATATAGCTGAACAATTGAGATTATATGCAAACACTTTATTAGGTTCATTATATTTCCTAACTTTTAATCCATTGGACAGGTTATGAAATCATCTGTCAAGCAGGATTCATTTAGGTATTCATCGGGGAGAAGCCTAAATGATCAATCACGGTTAAACGTTATTTCGTAAACAATAAAAAAACTATGAATATAGTATTGGAAAAAACAGTAGGTTTGATATTTAAATATACCAAACCGAGGTTTTGAATTCTCACCTGAAAAAGGTTAATGTTGTCCATTTGTATTCTAACCAATACTGTTACTATGCTGATCAAATGAATAAATAGTGGTTTTCAAACTTAAAACAAGTCTGTTGTAAAACCTTTCAAATATATAGCAGTGATACTGCACATGTGAAATCGATTTTTTCACGTATGACATTTTAAAATTTTTTCCTTTAACCATTTAATGCTTTTTAGAATTAATGTTTAGTAACAAAGCTGTATTTTTAATACGTTCTTGTCACGTTTACATTTCATTTACTTTTACTGGTGCAAACAGGCGCAACCCTTTATAGTTTAAATTGATCTAACTTTGTTTTGCTAACTGCCAAAACGTCTAACTTATCTTGCTACGTGCAAATGCAAACTCGTTACAATTGCATGTAAAACCAATGTCTTAGATGATTATGTTTTTATGTATATCACTTGACCCTTACATAAAGTTCAATAAATCTCATATTGGCCGTCACTCCAAATCTACTCAAAGAAGGATTTGATTATTAGAGGATTGATAGTCAGTGTTGATCGACACTGCAAACTAACTAAAATACCCACACACAATTGTAAAATTACCCAAACTTACCCACAAACAGCGTTTGGCCTGTACAGAAAATACAGAAATAAGAACTGTACAGAAAATAAATATAGTTAGGGAGGGATTGAAAATACACCAATAAACGCTCGCACCACGAAAGATTAGAGCAAGCACGCAAATTATCTATTAAATTAGATGTTTTATATCTGTCAACATTGATTGAAGGAAAAGAAGGAAATAATCATACGAGGCTTTTGTGTCATTGCAAGAAAATATTTATTAAAACCTTTTATGGCACTGAACATTTAATTATTATGAACTAAGCATTGTAGTTTTTTCAGTCTATTTTACGTATTTACTCTAGTGTTTATTAATTGTTAAAATGTCAATCCTATTTACATTGTTATTTAAATTACTGTTCTATTTAGCCGATTGTCTTATCAATATTATTAGAATAACGAAGTTAACTATACAATGCAATTTTTTTCAATAAATAATATTATTATCATCGAGAAAGGATTGAAAGTTTCCTACAGTTACAGTGGCCACTATTTTTCACTAAAAATCAGTGAAAACAACTGAACGCTGATTAAAAAAGATTTCGCCAATTTTACTTATTAATGTGGATTTTAAGGAAAAATTGCATATTTACACTAAAGTAACTTTTATAGTTATAACTGAACTTCTATACTGGTTAAGAGAATGTATATAAAAGCAATTTTGCTACAAAAGTATTATTCTTGAGGATAATCGAAAGGCATATTAACCTGCTTGAAATAATTCAGTAGGCCTACATTAATTAGCTTTGCGATACAACACTACAGCTTGCGAGCAGATGCACGCCGCTCCGCGCCATAAACAGAAATTTCGTCGCTCTGTCCAACCCAAAATGATTACCAAACTAAGTATGATGATAGAAATAAAATTTAAATACAAACAGTAAGTTATATTTAATTATCTACACATTTTTCACAGACGAAATTTCTCAGACCAACAGACAACAAATTTTAGTAGGTGACTATTTTTTCACTTGGCTTTTCCTAACTTTTTCTAATGTGTTAATTTTTTAAATATTCATATATACGTTTTATATTTAACGTTCTTAACGAATTCAACGGCTTTATTATTCAAACTTGTATACCTTATCCTATTATGTTATTGAAAAAATATTACTATTTTGCACTTGCCATGGTTTAACCTTTAGTTTCGTTCCTTTATCGTTTGCGAAACTTTAATCCTTGTTCTATAAATTTTAAATTAAAAACAAATTAATGAGAAATACTTTAATCTTACCCGCACTTAACAGATAAGATACATCCTTTATCTAGTGCACTTGAATCTATCTATCTATATCTTTGAATCTTTATGGGACTTGAATCTATGCATGGTTTTAACCTCGGATTTAGAATCAGGAAATTATTCTGAAAAGGACTACATTCACATTTCAACCCCTACACGGGCACTACACTTGTAATGAACTTATTTTTGAGTCGTGCTGGGTGCTAACAATCTGGGAATCGTATTAGGTAACAAGACAATACACGTATTACTCGACAAGTCTCACAATCTCTAAATATAGAGTAATCTACAATTTATTTTAGGTAACGTCAGGCAAACAGTTGGTTCTCGCTCTGATTTGTGCTAACCGATTTGACTTAAGCCCTAAAGAATTATCAATGCAGATTTGGTTATGGTTTCAATAATAATTTACATTTTAGAGAGATATACCAGGACAGTAAGGATTCTTGGACTTATTGATTCGCAGCTTTAGCTTAAGGAAAAGAATATGCTCAATCGTTCTTCTTGTACTGACGGTTTGAAATAATCATGTTGGAACTACACTGTACCTCACATTAATGTGTTGACATCATGATACAGTAAGTCTTTATGATCACTTTATAGTCAATATTGTAAAGTTAAAGTTATCAATAAGTAAGATTTATCAAAACAGTAGGTATGAAAAAAACGTTTGAACTATTCTGAACAATTTTGCATGCTTTCGCAAACTATGATCTACTTTAATACCTTTCAATGAAATAATGACAGTGACTAACACAATAACTCATATACATCCATGTTATCAATTCGAATAATATCTTCAAACTTCAAACAACTTAATAATGTTTTAATAAATTTTCTGTAACCATTTGATTCAATTACAATCACAATTACAATTATTTATAAAATAGTATATTTCGTACCTAGGGCCGAAAATGAGGTTTTGCCGGGTCGAGGTAGTTGAGACGAAGTCGAGAACTTAAAATGATCGAGAGCTGCAAAACCATTTTGGTCCGTGGTACGAACGCTATTTTCACCACACTATACCCTATTACCACTATTCACCAAAATAAGAATGTACACTAACAGTCAACACAACTACAGTTTTAAGGTTATGTGAAGAAATAATTTTAGGTATCAGCAAAAACAATAATAAATAGTTGCTAGGCAGTGGTGATTTATTGTCAATTCTATTGCAATGCTATGGATACTGATTGTGTATTTAATATGCATTCATATTTTAAGATGTACGCTGCTGGAGTTATGACGTCACTTGGGATGTATAAACGAGCTCGGTCCCCAGATGATGTCTTTAGAGGATGAACAGTATCATTGTTATTTTGCGGGTGCTGTGTAATCTTACGTGGCGAAGACTCTGTCGGTTACGAAGGACGAAGTATTGTGACAGTGTCGATTGTGAATCTTGTTGAGGTTCTGTTGTCAACGTAGGTGTGCCGAGGAGAGAACTGACGAATGAGGTCTGCAGCAGGACCGGGG